GTCTTCTAGAGTTCTGCATAACTTCCAGAAAGTTTAGTGTTTTTGTTTTTATATTTAGATCTTTAATCCACTTGGATTTTAACTTAGTGCATGGTGACAGATAAGGGTCTAGTTTTAATCTGTGGCAGGTTGAGATCCAGTTTTTCCAACATCATTTATTAAAGAGGCTAACTTTCCTCCAGTGGGAACTATCAGCTGCTTTGTCAAAGATGAGGTAGCTGAGTGCATTTCGAGTTGTTTTTGTGTCTTCCAATCTGTTCCATTGATCCTCAGGTCTGTTTCTTTGCCAGTACCATGCCATTTTTATCACAGTGGCTTTGTAGTATAGTTTCAAATTGGGAATTGTTATTCCCACTGCCATGTGTCTGTTGCCTAGGATGGCTTTTGCTATTCTAGGTCTCTTATGGTTCCAAATGAATTTTTGGATTTTTTCTTTCTAGTTCTGTGAAGTGTAGTGTTGGAATTTCAATTGGTATTGGATTGAATCTATATAGCAGTTTTGGTAGTATGGCCATTTTCACTATGTTGATTCTTCCTACCCAGGAGCAGGGGACATCTTTCCATTTTCTTATTTCCTCCTCGATCTCTTTTTTTCAGAGTGCTGTAGTTTTCAGTGTAGAGGTCTTTTGCTTCTTTTGTTAGGTTGATTCCCAGATACTTCATTTTTTTGGGTGCTATTGTGAAAGGAATTGTTTCCCCAATTTCTCGTTCAGTGAGTCTGTTATTTGTGTACAAGAAGGCTATTGATTTTTAGGTGTTGGCCTTGTATCCAGCTACTCTGCTAAAAGTGTCTATTAAGTCAAGAAGTCTTTTGGTGAAGTTTTTTGGGTCTTCAATGTAGAGCATCATATCATCAGCAAATAATGACAATTTAACTTCTTCCTTTCCTATCTTTATTGCTTTAATTTCTTTCTCTTGTCTAATTGCTATGGCTAATGTTTCCAGAACTATATCAAAGAAGAGTGGTTATAGTGGGCATCCTTGTCTTGTTCCTGATTTTAATGTGAAGGTTTTCAGTTTTTGGCCATTAAATATGATGTTGGCTGTTGGTTTTTCAGATAGCCTTTATTAAATTGAGATATAGACCGTCTATTCCAATTTTTTGCAGGGTTTTTATCATGAATTGGTGTTGAATTTTGTCAAATGCTTTTTTGGCATCTATTGAGAGGATCATGTGGTTCTTGTCCTTGACTTTGTTAATATAGTGTATTACATTTATTGATTTACATATGTTGACCCATCCTTCTATCCCTGGAATAAATCTGACTTGGTCAGGATGTATGATCTGCTTGATGATCCTCTATATTCTGATTGCTAGTATCTTACTGAGGATTTTTGCATCTATATTCATTAAGGAGATTGGCCTGTAGTTCTCTTTTTTAGTTACATCTTTCCCAGGTTTGGGAATCAAAGTGATATTTGCTTCCAGGAATGAATGTGGAAGTATTGCTTCCCTTTCAATTTCATTGAAAAGTCTGAAAAGTAATGGCAGTAGTTCTTCTTTAAACGTCTTATAAATTCAAAAGTGAATCCATCAGGACCTGGGCTATTCTTTGTTGGTAAGTTTTTAATTACATTTTCAATTTCACTGATTGTAATTGGGGTGTTTAAAATGTTTTTTATTTTCTTCATTCAACTCTGGTAATTCATAAGTATCTAGAAATCTGTCCATTTCTTCTGTGTTTTCCATTTTATTAGAGTACAGGTTCTCATAGTATGTATTAATGATCCTCTGGATTTCTGTGGGATCTGTTGTGACTTCACCTTTTTCATTCCTGATTGCATGAATATGAGCCTTTTCTTTCCTTTTTTTGATAAGGTTTGCTAAGGGTTTATCAATTTTATTTATTCTTTCAAAAAACCAACTCTTTGATTATTTTTTATATCATTTTCTTAGTTTCCATTGCATTGATTTGTCCTCTAATCTTTACAATTTCCTCTCTTGTTCGAGCTTTGGGTTTTTCTCACTCTTATTTTTCTAGGAGGCTAAGAGTCATCATTAGGTTGTTTATTTGAGCTTGCTCTGTTTTCCTAATGTGGGCATTTAGTGCTATGAATTTTCCACGTAGAGCTGCTTTCATTGTGTCCCATAGATTCCTATATGTTGTATTGGCATTTTCGTTTATTTGTAAAAACTGTGATTTCTTCTTTGATTTCCTCTGCGATCCATTGATTGTTCAGGATAGTGTTATTCAATTTCCATGTGTTTGTAAAGTTCCTATAGTTTCTTATGCTATTGATCTCCAGCTTTATTGCACTGTGATCTAATAATATACAGGGAATAACTTCAGTTCTTTGCATTTATTCAAACTTGTTTTGTGAGCTAGTATGTGATCTATCTTGGAGAATGACCCATGTGCAGCTGAAAAGAATGTATATTCTGATTTTGTGGGGTGGAACACTATAGACATCTAATAAGTCCATGTATTCAAAAGCTTGGTTCAGTTCTAGTATTTCATTGTTGATTTTTTGCCTAGATGACCTATCTCTTTGTGATAGTCATGTGTTTAGATCCCCTACTACTATTGTATTAGTGGTTATTTGGTTTTTCGTGTTACTTAATATTTGTTTTATATAGTTGGAGGCATTTATATTTGGTGCATATATGTTTATGATTTTCATCTCTTCATCTTGAATTGTTCCCTTTACAAGGATGTAGTTGCGTTCTTTGTCTCTCTTAATCAGTTTTGGTTTGAAATTTGCTTTGTCTGCGAATAAGATTGCTACCCCTGCTTTTTTCTGGGCTCCTGTCGCATGGAGAATTGTTTTCTATCCTTTCACTTTCAGTCTATGGGCTTCTTTTTGCACTAGGTGTGTTTCTTGTATACAACATATTGTTGGATTTTGCTTCTTAATCCATTCTGCCAATCCATTTCTCTTGATTGGTGAATTGAGGCCATTGACATTGTTATAACTGATATGTACTGACTGATTATTGTCATGTTATTGTCCTTTTGTTGACTCTTTTTATTTTTTGTCCTCTCCTTTTAGTTTCTTGCCCTGGCTATTTGATTTGCTCTGTTGGGTCTCCTGTTGTTGTGATCTTCGTTGTCTTTTTCTAGGATATTGTTTAAAATTCTTAGTAGTGCTGGTTTAGTATTCATGAAGCTTCTCAATTGTTCGTTGTCATGGAAGTATCTTATTTCTGCATCCATTTTGAAAGAGCACTTTGCAGGATACATCAGTCTTGGTTGTAGGTTGTTTTCTTTTAGCACTTGAAATATCTCACTCCAGTCTCTCCTTGACCTGAGGGTTTGTGTTGAAAAGTCTCCTGTGATTCTAATGGGCTTTCCTTTGCATGTAATTTGTTTCTTTTCTCTTACTGATTGTAGTATTTTGTTCTTCTGTTG